GGTGCAATAAGGCAGCGCGCATTGTGCACCCACCTTTCAGCCCGGTCCAGCTGCCTTCTGCCCCAATGCCATGACCCAGGTGCTCCCCTTGGTCACAACATGCCCCCCCCCCCAACAAAAAAACCCACCCTCAACATCTGGATGGTGGTTTTGCAGCTGGCACAGCTGCCAGAGCAATTCTGCACCACCTGGGACTGCTGCGCCTTTGCTCTGCCACAGCCATGAGACGCTGCTCCCATACAAACCACAATATAATGCAAAACACAACGCAAAAATAAATAAAAACATAAAGTAAAATCCACTTTCTTACTTTTTTTCCAGCCCGATACAGGCAAATCCTATCCCATTTTCCCCGCTCAGAGCCGTATCGTTGAGCCAGGGAAGGGTTTTAACCTCAACCACTCTAATAAAATAAGAGTCGGACTGGGCAACGGCGTTAAAGCCGGCAAAATTTTACGGAAAAATATCCAGGGGTTGGAAAAATCCGTTTCCCGAGATGCACAGGGGCCCCTAACACACACAGCGCCCGGCGTGGGGACACTGAGCTGCGTTGTCACCGGCGTGTGTCACCACAAAAAGGTCCTTTAGTCTTTACCAGGACCTGGCTTTATTTTTTTTAATGAAGTTAACGAGACTGTGCTTAGGCGTGATGAATCCTATTCACGTCAATAGGGCACGGGGAACACCGGGCAGATTCAGCTGTTTAACGAGGGGAAAAAAACAATTAGCCCAGCATATATTAAACCTTTTAATAGTGCGTGAATTTATTTTATAACTACCTAAATATATTAAACCATTTCCACCTTTCCCAGCCAATTTTTCCGTGCTGGGGCTTCAAGGATTGCGCGATCCCGGGGAAGGGAGTATGTTAGGATGGACTTTTCTCTCCCTCCTGGATTTCCCAACCTGAAAGGAGGACTAGAAAAGTGGAATTGCTGTTTAATCTGGAATGACAGCAATGCTTTTCCGGGTGAATATTGCAGCGTTTTGCAAAGAAAAGTGCTTTTGATCGTGCGGCCGCCACCGTCTGCGCACCGGGGAGCATGTAGGATGAGGTATTTATTCCTTCGTTAATAAGGGAGCTGCCTTCAGCTTGATTGCGATCGACAGCTCGTGGGATATTGTCACCGACACGGCCCTCGACGGCTCACCGTGATGTCACCGAACAGTGCAGGGACCCCATCCGCAGTCTGGTTTTCCCTGAAAATGCACCAAACCCCCTTTGTGGTCCATGTTCCCCCACCGTGGAGCCCTGGATGGAGCCATCATCCTCCTCCCGTCTCCCCCATTGCGAAGAGTATCTGCAAAGGGAAAATATATAAAAATATAAATATATAAACCCTATCTTGTTATTAAGAGGTTTAACCCAGTTTGTGTTTGGGTAGGATGTATAGGGAAACCGGAGCTGGTTTAAGTCAGGAAAGGTTTCTCCCAGCTCACCCACCCTGCAGACCCCATCGGTTCCCATCATGGATGTCCCAACTGGTGTGGAAAGCTTGGGAGAAACCTTCACCAAACATCAGGGCTGAATATATGGGACCCAGGATAAAAATGGAAGAAAATCAAATATACGCCGGTCCCTGACTTGGCAGAAGACGGCCGAGAGCAAACAAGCCCCGGCATGAAGTCGTCCTCTCCTGCTCCCTGCCCCGGGGCTGGCTCCCATCCCTTGACAACTTTTACTCATCCAGCAAGAAAGGTGGCTTGGATGCCTTTTCCCCGAGTGGCGCAACGGGGATCAAAGAGGTTTTCCCGGAGCCAGCCCTGTCTCCAGGGGTTTCCGCTCCCGGCCGCAAACCGGGCGGCATCTTCCCAGGGGAACGTGTGGCCCCGCTACTCACCACAGCTGAGATTCTCAACATGGAACGATGCCTTTTTTGGGGGAGGCCTCAAAACTCCTGAGTTTTTTGAGGAAAGCTTGTTTTTCTTCATGCTGTGTGAAGCCTCTTTGCACCAGCCCCTTTCCAACAGCGTCACTTCCACCAGGGTGGTGAGATACTGGCCCAGAGTTGCCCAGAGAAGTTGTGGGTGCCCCATCCCTGGAGGTGTTCAAGCCTAGGTTGGACGGGGCTTTGAGCAACCTGGTCTAGTGGAAGGTGTCCCTGCCCATGGCAGGGGGATTGGAACTAGATGATCTTCAAGGTCCTTTCCAACCTAAATCACTCTATGACTCTCTGAGGTTGAGACTATTTTGAGGCTCAGCTGCAATGAGGTGCTTGATGGCAACCTGGGCAGGTGAAAGCAATGGACCCACCTGCATGAAGAGAGCTGGAGAGGAGTAGGATGGGTGAGGGCTTCAGGATGAGGGTTGTGGGCTACAGCATACAGCACTTTGCAGGATCTGGCCTCCACACCCAGTGTGTGGGCTCAAAGACCTCTTCAAACCCAACCATGCAGCTCTGATGGGTAAGAGGCAGCTGAGAAAAGCTGAGTTTGGGGACTAATTTAATCTAATTGCGGGGGGGACATCTCTTGGGAGGGAGGTGTTCCTACACTATTTTTAAAACAGTGTGTTTGGCCCTATCTTCTACCTGAGCCATGCAAAGCATTTTCCTCCTAGCAGGTCTCCTTGCCAAGGAGATGCTGGCTGGGGGTTCTCCTCAAATTCAGGTTTGGGGCTAAAACTTCATTTCCCAGGGTGCATCTTGAGGTTGAAGTCTCCAATCAGGGGTGAGGGAGTCTTTAAACAAGCCGCCTGTGGGGGGGCATTGCCATTAGGGGGGAGCTGGGTAAGGGGGTGAGGTCTTTTTAAGTCTGGGTGGCTTTGAGGAAGCATGTCATGCTGTGCTGAGTGAGTGCAGGCCCACCAGCAGCTGCAAGTACTCACGGCTCAGCGAAGGCTGGTAAAATATGGAGGGTTTTGATGTGTTTTCTACTCCTTGAAGTTTGCAGGATGTCTCATGGTGCTCTGTAGCTTGTCTTTCTCTCCTTGAAAATCTACTTTTATGGTTGAGGTTCTTCATGGGTGGGAACCACTTGGGTGTTGTTTGATTACGATCTTTATTTCTTGCATTCTCTGAGGCCTTGAGTTTCCAGGGGGAGTAGTGATTTGGGGGGAGGTCTGGCAGCTTCAGCCATGAGAAGAAGAGAGACAATAGCTGGGTGATGGTAGCCCAGATACGCACTTTGGCAGGGGGAGTCAATATCTCAATTTTGCTCTTGTTTCTTTATGGTTTTTATTATTTTCCATTGTTGTGATGTAATTAGGGCCTGGATAATATTTGCTGCATACCCTGGGCTGTTCTGAGGGTGCAAATCCACCCCAGTGCACAACCCCCATCTGTCTCTCCTATGAGGACAGGCTGAGAGAGTTGGGGGTGTTCAGCCTGGAAAAGAGAAGGCTCTGGGGAAGACCTTATTGCAGCCTTCTAGTACCTAAAGGGGCTACAGGAGAGCTGGGGAAGGACTTTTTATAAGGGCAGGTAGCGATAGGATGAGGGGTAATGGCTTCAAGCTGGAAGAGG